AAGCCTCGGCTGGGTTGGTGGCTTTTGGAGCATTTCTAATGACATTATCTCACAGACTGTCCAAGAAGTTTCTGCTTCAGTTTTGCTAAGTTTGCTGCACTACTTAGCACTAATAAACAAGTATCTGTGTTTGTGGGAAATAGCCGTGCAGCTTGCTAATCAGTGTTTACTTTACTACAGTCAGTTACCAAAGTCTGTAGGAAATAAACTACACTACCCCAGTGTGACTGAAAGAAGTCCTCACATGTTGCCACACAGTTAAATACCTCCTCAACGACACCGAACTGTTGCAACTCACACATTAAGCTGTTTAATGAGGTGATTAATTGTGGTAAATATGGGGAGTATGGGTGCTGTTTATTCATTTAAGGAAAATGAGATGCTTCCCTTATACAGAATATTTAGACTCCACCAACTTTGAGAATATGCAAGTGGAAATGCTTTCTGGAATAAAGTAGCCACTAATCATTCATCCCAACTCTTGGGTTTTTTCAGTTTGTAGCTACACAGCTGATGAACTGTTATCTTAGCTAACCTACTTATCTGGCCATACAAGTAGTTTTAGCTTTGTTATTGGTCCAGATTTGAAAATTCCTGTACTTTTAGAGATTGTCAGTACAGTTTCATATACACTCTGCTACCTTACAACTACAGTTGCCTTTTAGTGTAAGACGTATGATTGGGAAAGCCAACAAGCAATGAGCTGCACCTGGTGATGCTGCTCGTTGTTGAATTCTCTCCAGTACAACGACGGGTGGTTGAGGGTTTGGAGAAAGATCCAGATAGCTCTAAATCTGTTATTACTACTGTATGCATCAGCAGGGGAACATCTGATACAACGTGAAAGGCTTCCCAAGAGCATCATGGGGGATCCCGGAGCATTCCCGGGATATGCAATCATACCAGCATTTTCTGGTTATGCTGCATGGTCTCCATTCAGTTGGATGTGCTCAGGAAATCACTAAAGGGAAGTCAGGAGGAATCCTTATCAGATAAAATTACTTCAACTGGAACCTTTTAACAGAAAGGATCAGTAGTTGACCCTCCAGGTAAACTGTTTCTAGCTGCTCCTCCCAGGCCTTCCTAGTGGATTTCAGAAGGAGTTTCAGGCCAGAATGCCTGTAATCTGGTTATGCTCCGTACTTTGAAGCAGTACCAAGGTGCTGGTCAGATGCTCAAACTGCTCACGATCATTGGTTATGTTTGACATGCAGATCAGCTGGCCAATCAAGACTTAAATCTACTTTTTCAGTCACATCTTTCCCTCATTCATTCACCAGCTCTTGTTGTTGCTTGAAGTACATCACCACTACGTTTTGGGCTTCTACCCACCCCCAGCCCTCAGTGATCCTCTCCTATAAAAAGATGTGGTCAGACACAGCGTGTTCTTACATTCTTGTGCTTGCTGCCTTTATCTCTTACAGACTTTTTCTTTCAAATCTACAAATATTATGTGTCTAAGTTCGGTTTAGCTCAGAGATATCAACTTGTCACTGGCTCTTCAGTCTTTAACAGCGGGAGGCAGGGTGAAGTGCCGGATTAGTGTGCTTACATAAAAGGACCGTGTCAGGCCAGCTTCTGTGTGTTGTCTATTTTCTCTTGTTCTAGACACCCAGAGATTTATGTCATCTTGTCATTTATTGGGCTGTGGTGGGCGTCTTGGCTGTGTAATTATGAGGTCTGCTGCTCTTATGGGTTTATGTGCGTAGTGCGGCGAGACACTTCAAAAGAAAACAGATGCAACAGAGAGCTAATTCAGTTGTTTCCTCACTGCCAACTTTCATAACCGTGCACTCAAAATATACTGTATCTTAGGGACCCGGTAACCTCTGTGTTCAGCACAGAGCTCGAACACGAGAGAAATGTTTCACACCTCAAACTGTCATACTTGAAGCCCCGCAGAGTACCCAGGTCTGAAGTTAGGCGCTGCTGAGCTGAGGTTAACAAGAAGGCCTGGCTTAATATGTCAGCGAACATTACCGCACAGGACTTTCTTTGTAACTGGAAAAGGAAAAGATATTTTAGGACCAAACAAGCAATTAGGTGCTATGTGAGAAGGTTGAATAAAGGTTGCATAAATATGATGGAATATAGCAAAACATCCTCGAAATGATTTTTAGGCGCCTGTGCAGCTCTTTGTAGAAATAAATGTAATTTATTTAATTAGATTAGATGGTCAGCTGGTTACTAAGGTAATACAACTGTCCTTTAAAGGTCTGTATAAAAAAGATAGATATTTGTTAGCTGTTTCAGCTAAGAGCTACGGTGAATGCTGTACAGTAAATTATTTCCACTGTTGTTAACATGCTGCTGTTGTCACACATCTGTTGACTCTACAAGACCTCTCAGAGTCCTTTGTGGATCAGGCTGACCGCACAAGCACTTCTGAAATGCTCTGATTCAGTCGTCTGGCTATATCACTTTGGCTCTTGTCCAAATGACTTTGGTTTTTACACCTGCCCGTTTCTTCTGAGCCGACCCCTCAGCTAATATATCCCAGACTTTGAAACGGGCCCTCGTTACAAAATGCTCAGAAGGTTTTGGCTTATCGGTATAAATATTCGAAGATGTTATAATTTATTTCCAAGAGCAAGAATCTAATCTGACAACTGAGGCTGCTCCGGGGATGCTAATGCTATTGTTAGCTTCATTTACGATTTTAGTTGGTCATCTATTATTAAGTGCGAGCGCTGCAGTTTACTGTCAGTGCTCACCCTTCTTTCACTGTTCGGATGATGCAGACACATTGTTTTCTTCATCTGCAGCAGACAGCTGACATCAAATCCTTTTTCTTTATAGCTAACGTATTATTGAAAAGGTCACTCATGCTTCAGTTTGCTCTTGGGTTTGTTGCAGTTTTTCCAAGCATTGCACAGTCTGGCCTTGGGGTGAATTTACTGGAACATCCACTCCTGAGAAGACTGGCAGCTGTCAAGAATGTTTGCCACGTTCTCGCTGTCGAATGATGGAAATCAAACTGTTGGGAAATGGACTTATATCCCCACGCAGACGGACGTGCAGCCACAGTAACATCTTGTCTTTCCTCTGTGGTATGCCTGAATTCTCCCCATGTTCTCATCCCAACATGCAACATACCGACGCTATGTGACAAATCGTCGATATGATCCGAGGCATGAGAGCGTATTAGAAGGGATCTATAAATGTAAGGTTAGGGTTAGGGCTGTAATAGAAAGCTGCTAAGTGAATAACGGGAAGCGCTTCAATTAAGAATCCGGAGCGTCTCGTAATGTGGAAGGGCACCTTTCGCGTTACTGTGACACGTCTCGGGCCGTGACGAATCGTCAGTATGGGGTTTTGTTTTGTATACTGCAAACAGCAAAACTTGTGCTTTTATAAAGGTGGTCCTCCTCGCTGATTTGATCTGGTTAGAGGCACCTGGCTGCTTCTTCATTTCTATAATGTACTTAGTTTTTCACACAGCGCTTCCACATTGTGGTCTAATTTTTGGCAGAGAAAAAAATGACATGGAGTAATATGTCATACTTTGTAGTTCTTCTGAGGTTGTACCTGCCAAGTGCCAGGTTACTTTTTCTTATTATGTTGTGACAAGTTTAAAGAAGGGTGCTTTGTTATTTAACATGACTGGAGGTGCATATTTTTCAAACTCACATAGTTGGTGCCAATCATTTTCTCTTTTTGTTTATCCTTTGCTGTTTAAGATTTTTTTCTATCAAGTGAAACCTAAAAAAAATCTTTAGCAAAACTTACTTTGTGAACAAAGGGTGCTGCAGATGCACAACAGGAAATCCACAGAGGAAAGAAACAAAACCACGAGCCCAGGATACAAAGAAGAAAAAGTCACACTGACAGAAACAGTGGAACAAAAGAGAACAACTACCATCGAAATACAGTTTATGTTTCTGCATACTGTCCTGTATTAGAGCACCAATCCACTGCTGGAGCCCTCCCCAACACATGCACTGGTCTCACACAGTAAACACACAGTGTGCACACTTGTATAAAAGTGTTTATTTGTAACCAATTTCAAAAGAAGAAGGCCTACAGTAAGATCTTTGTGTGTAGATGAACAAAACACATTGTGCAGGAAAAAAGAGAATATGTATGAGAAAGAGGAAACCATCAGTTTTTAATATGATGTTCACTGGATTCAAGTAACATCAAAGCACTCAAACACACTCATAACATCGAACCAAAGGCTGAAGAAAAGCTTTTAGTATATTTGGGTTTCCTAATCTTTTTTTTGCTCTTTTAAAAATCTGAAAAATTCTTTTCTCATACATTTGCTCAGCAGGCAAAGCAGCTTCAAATCTTCACAAATGACTGGCCTGCAGCACCAGAATACATTTTACAGCTTGTTTCGCATGTTCATTGCCGTTGCCAGTGTATTAGAGCGGTCCACGCTGGAACCAGTTCACATACCACACAGTCAACAAACACGGTATAGAGTGGTCTCGGAGGACTTTGCTGTCTTGCAGATGGCTAAAACTTTATATGCACGTTGTGTTGTGGTTTACAAATGTGTTTGTTTGTTGCCTTATATTTTTGTTTTAACAAGAAGTGGGCTCAGTGCGAGATCTCACCACAGGACACGCTGCACAAGTGCGTCAATACAGAGCCGCTACCACGACATAACAATTCCCAGCAGTTCTCTCACACTCAAGTGGCACAGATACATATAATTTCTCTTTGTGGAGCTTACAAATACAAAAGCAGATACTTTTATGAAGATGCAAGCTAGACAGACATCTTTCATGACTGGTTGCTCTTCTTAAATGGGGATTCCACAGATTCTACACGTCAACGTTATTTTTCCAGGTGCTATGAAGTCCTGATGTTTAGGTGAAACAGTATATCTCCTGTGTTTGCAGGCTGGAAGCGCTGGAATACATTATTTTTGCTTAGGCTACAAGTTTGATGCATTTTTTGTCAGGACTGTAGACTTCAGGATGAGGCGGTATCCAGTTAATGTCTGGATACTTCCAAGCTGGAAGGTACTGACATGTCTGTTGTGTCCACAGGGAGAGAAGGGTGATACTGGGCCAACTGGTGCTGCTGGAGCTCAAGGTGCCCCGGTGAGTTGATAATGATTTCATGCATTAATATGTATTTGTACATAAACAGTTAACTCAGTGCTGTTGTTGATTTTAAACTGACACGTAAAGTTTTGAAGGAAAGTGCAATCAGGACATTAATACCAGAGCTGAAATTAATTGCAGCCTTTTAAACGCTGCTAGTAAACACACACACACACACACACACACACACACACACACACACACACACACACACACACACACACACACACACACACACACACACACACACCAGGAAACAGGAGATGGTAAAAGCTGTTTTAAAGCTCTGTGCTTGAACAGGGAGCAGTCAGGTTACTCATCTATTTTACGGGGGCAGTCACTTCATTGTGGAAGTCACTTTCTCCCAATAAAAAGTCTTTTATCTATTTACCGAACAGATTTACTGCATCTCATTGATTAATGTTGAATATATTTCTCATCGAGCAGTCCATCCTGGATACAAACTCTTGTGTAAAAGAATCAGTTAAACTCAACAGAATCGATCATTTTTTACAACAAATTGAAGGTTAGATTTGACGCAGCTTCAGAAAATACCTTGAGCTTCACTCACAAACTGAGTCAGAAAAGTGTTCCAGCATTATATATATATATACATATATATATATATATGTATATATATATATATTAGGGGTGCAACGATACACAAAATTCACGGTTCGGTTTGATACTTTGGTGTCACGGTGCAACTACTTTTCCGAGAATACCTGCTTCTTTTGTGGTTCGGACTCCTGACATTTCTTTGGAGGTGGAGGAACATCACAGTAATTGCTTAAAGGAGCTTCTTCGACATCTTTAAGAGTTCTAAACAAATGTCTGTCCTCCTCCAGAAAATCTTATGTATGCAAACACGCGTTGCAACTTCTTATCTTGTGCGCGTTTTTTATTTTGACAGCGAATGCGCACCTGCGGACCACTTATGTGCAGCCCTGGTTATTTAGCTCGTCATATTGCAGCCACAGAAATTATTTTGTCCATGAAACCATAAAGCTGCACTTTCTTTTTGCCTTATAGTCTGATTTGTCATAACTTTTCCGTTTTGCGGTAAGCTTTTCTTTGGCTGTCACTTCTTCACCCTGACCTGTCTTATTTGGCTCAGCAGAACTGAAATATATATCCTGCTGCTTTTACACTTGCACTCACATAAAGCTCAGCGATTCTCTGCGCGATCAACCTCTCACATGTTTAAGCTGCGGGAGATTTCACTTGTCATGTTTGCGTAGTAAGCTAACGATTGATAAGACAATGTCAGAGGAATTGGTGCACAAATTATCATCACTCACCAATCAGTGCTGTCGCTCTCTATACACAGTTCGCGCGATTGCAAAGTGAAAGCAAAAAAACAAGCGCAAATTCAAACGCGATTTCAATATGTCACATATTGACAGTGGCTCACCGATGCCAATGACATAATTACCCAGCTACATTTCTGAAAGAATGCAAAAGCATTGACATATATTTGCATTGCGAGCCCTGTATCTGATTGAGGAATCACTCATCTTTGGAAAAGAGAGTTTATTACAGAGAAATGTCTCTTTCCAAAATAAAAGCTATACTATCCGCTTCTTCTGGGCTATATTCTCAGCAGCATATTAAACAGCTGTCTAAATGACTCGGGTAAAGTTAGTAGCATGCTTGTTGTTTTTGTCTGCTTCCACTTGTCTTTGCACTAGGATGATGTCGGCGTAAATGTGCAGTCATATTCGTTGTGTTCCCACTAGTGCTTTCAGGTTAATCTCGTTGAAATGACTTTAACGCCACAACACGCAAATCTCCGTTAACGAGCTACCGCCGATCGCCCTGTGCATGGGGCTGGACGGCGTCAACACGTTAACGAGCTAACTGCGCTAACGCACTAGCTCCCACCCATGTAATTGAGCATTGCGTGGCACATCCAACATACTGTTTTACTTTAGTCCATGACACGCTTACCTTCAGGGTCATACGTCACATGAAAACCAAAATAGTTCCAAAGGCCAGATCTGAATGAGGGTGGGGGAGGTTCAATTTGCCATGTTGCAACGAGCTTAGCTTCTGTCTCGCTAGCTTGCCCTGCGCTCAGTGAATCTGCGTTCGACTACTCCGCCTAGGCTGCACTGTCGAGCGCAGATCCACTGAGCGCTCAAAACAGACAGCATCGTCAGAAGGAAAGTTGATAAAATAAATAAAACATTTTGTATTGTCCGATACATATGCGTACTGAACCGAAAGCACTGTATCGAACGGTTCAATATCGATACGAGTATCGTTGCACCCCTAACATATATATATAACACCCAGCACGCCCCTGCGGGCGGTTTATCCTTCAAGCTCGGGTCCTCTACCAGAGGCCTGGGAGCTTGAGGGTCCTGCGCAGTATCTTAGCTGTTCCCAGGACTGCGCTCTTCTGGACAGAGATCTCCGATGTTATTCCCGTGATCTGCTGGAGCCACTCGCCTAGCTTGGGAGTCACCGCACCTAGTGCTCCGATTACCACGGGGACCACCATTACCTTCACCGTCCACATCCTCTCGAGCTCTTCTCTGAGCCCTTGGTATTTCTCCAGCTTCTCGTGTTCCTTCTTCCTGATATTGCTGTCATTCGGAACTGCTACATCGATCACTACGGCCGTCTTCTTCTGTTTGTCTACCACCACTATGTCCGGTTGGTTAGCCACCACCATTTTGTCCGTCTGTATCTGGAAGTCCCACAGGATCTTAGCTCGGTCATTCTCCACCACCCTTGGGGGCATCTCCCATTTTGACCTCGGGACTTCCAGGTTATACTCCGCACAGATGTTCCTGTACACTATGCCGGCCACTTGGTTGTGGCGTTCCATGTATGCCTTGCCTGCTAGCATCTTGCACCCTGCTGTTATGTGCTGGATTGTCTCTGGGGCATCTTTACACAGCGTGCACCTGGGGTCTTGCCTGGTGTGATAGACCCCAGCCTCTATGGATCTTGTACTCAGAGCTTGTTCTTGTGCTGCCATGATTAGTGCCTCTGTGCTGTCTTTCAGTCCAGCTTTGTCCAGCCACTGGTAGGATTTCTGGATATCAGCCACCTCCTCTATCTGCCGGTGGTACATACCGTGCAGGGCTCTGTCCTTCCATGATGGTTCCTCGTCTCCCTCCTCTTTCTTGGGTTTCTGCTGCCTGAGGTATTCACTGAGCACTCGGTCAGTTGGGGCCATCTTCCCAATGTATTCTTGGATGTTCCTTGTCTCATCCTGGACTGTGGTGCTGACACTCACCAGTCCCCGGCCCCCTTCCTTCCGCTTAGCGTACAGCCTCAGGGTGCTGGACTTGGGGTGAAACCCTCCATGCATGGTAAGGAGCTTTCTTGTCTTTATGTCAGTGGCTTCTATCTCCTCCTTTGGCCAGCCTATTACCCCAGCAGGGTACCTGATCACGGGCAGGGCGTACGTGTTGATGGCCCGGATCTTGTTCTTACCATTCAGCTGACTCCTCAGGACTTGCCTGACCCTCTGCAGGTACTTGGTGGTTGCTGCTTTTCTAGCGGCCTCTTCATGGTTCCCATTCGCCTGCGGGATCCCCAAGTACTTGTAACTGTCCTCTATGTCTGCAATGTTGCCTTCTGGTAGTTCAATCCCCTCAGTTCTGACTACCTTCCCTCTCTTTGTTACCATCCGACTACACTTCTCCAGTCCGAACGACATTCCAATGTCATTGCTGTATAGCCTGGTAGTGTGGATCAGTGAATCGATGTCTCGTTCACTCTTGGCATACAGCTTGATGTCATCCATGTACAGGAGGTGGCTGACAACTGCTCCGTTCCGTAGTCGGTATCCGTAGCCAGTCTTGTTAATGATCTCACTGAGGGGGTTCAGGCCTATGCAGAACAGCAGTGGGGACAGAGCATCTCCTTGGTAGATCCCGCACTTGATGGTGACTTGTGCTATGGGCTTGGAGTTGGCCTCTAGTGTTGTACGCCACATCCCCATTGAGTTCCTGATGAAGGCTCTTAGGGTCCCATTGATCTTGTACAATTCTAGGCATTCCAGTATCCAGCTGTGGGGCATTGAGTCATAGGCCTTCTTGTAATCAATCCAGGCAGTGCACAGGTTGGTCAGTCTGGTCTTGCAGTCTCGGCTGATTGTTCTGTCTACCAGTAGCTGGTGTTTTGCGCCTCTGGTATTCTTGCCAATTCCTTTCTGTGTCTCGCTCATGTATTGACCCATGTGCCTGTTCATCTTAGCCGATATGATGCCTGACAGGAGCTTCCATGTAGTACTGAGGCAGGTTATTGGTCGGTAGTTGGAGGGGACCGGTCCCTTCTTGGGGTCCTTGGGGATCAGGACCGTCCGGCCTTCAGTTAGCCATTCCGGGTGTCTCTCGTTAACTAGCAGCTGGTTCATTTGTGCTGCCAGACGCTCGTGGAGTGCAGTTAGCTTCTTCAGCCAGTAGGCGTGAACCATGTCGGGCCCTGGTGCTGTCCAACTCTTCATACTGGAGACCCTTTCTTGGATATCTGCCACTGTGATGGTTACTGGACCCTGTTCAGGGAGGTCGCTGTGGTCTGCCCTCAGATCCTCTAGCCACTGAGCATTGCCGTTATGGGTTGCATCCTTCTCCCATATGCTCTTCCAGTATTGCTCCGTCTCCAGCCTTGGTGGTGCTGTTCTCTTATTGTTCCCTTGCCACTGAGAGTACACCTTTGCTGGTTCTGTGGAGAACAGCTGGTTTATTCTCCTGCCTTCTATCTCTCTGGTGTACCTCCTCAAGCGGCTGGCCAAGGCTGTGAGTCTTTGCTTGGCAGTTTCCAAGGCCTCAGGTATGGACAGCTTGCTGTATTTTTTAGGCACCTTATTCGTCGCACCTTTCTGCAACTCTGTTAGTTGGCTAACCTCTCTCCGTGCTACTTTGATCTTGCCCTCTAGCCTCCTTCTCCATGGAGGGTACTGCCCCTTGTGGCTGTTCAACTTGTAGCCAAGCATCTCACTGATGCCGTATTGTAGATCAGCTTGTTAGTGTCGGTAATCGTGGTTGTAGGTATTGCCCGTAGTGCTGCATTAACATCATCTAGCAGACCTTCTGAGGGTACTTCACGTAATCTTGGTAACCGGCTACGGGGGATCCAGGTTTCAAGCTTGGCCATGATCCTATTTTTCAGGTCAGTTCCTCTCGCACTCAACGATCCTTCTCCTATCACACTTGGGGCTATGTACCCAATCTCGGGTGGGGGTGATGATATCTCCCCCCTGACCTGGCGTCCTGACTCCTCCTTGCCGTAGCATTTGTGTTGTACCTCGTCAATCTCTAGCTGTGAGAGCAGTCCCTTCTTTCGAATGTTGGAACACTGAGCTACTAGTTGTTTCGCCGTCATTGTGGATGCTGGGTATCGAAGAATCCATAGGTCCCTCATCCTATTCATGTAGCCCTTCCGCCGGGGTTACTTGCGTAGTAGCATTCCAACAACGCCCTGTTTTCGTCCCTTGCCCACCGATGCCTTCTTGTTCCAGTAGCCCACTTTTCGTCAGGGTGCCCTGGTTCCTCAACACCTGACGCGGACCTTGTTGATCCGGGCGACGTCCGAGCCGGCATGCCTTCATATTTATCTGTCTCGCTCATGTCTGCGGTAGGCTTGCTTAGCATAGGGGGTCTAGCCTTAGGACCCTTACTGGATACAGACGCCCCAGGCAGGAATCGAACTTGCGATCCTCTGTTCCAAAGGCGTGTAGTCTAACCACTACGCTATCCAGCTGCTATGTATATATATATACATATATATATATATATATATATATATATAATATATATATATATATATATATATATATATATATATATATATATATTATATATATATATATATTATATATATATATATATATATATATATATATTTGTTCGACATGAGAAGCAAGGTGCGAAACAACTGTCTGCTCCTTTCTGGCTCTGCTAATGGCCAAGATGTGAAAAAGAACATGAAATTAGTACTTGAGCCCAGAAAGACATCAGAACAGTGTTCACTGAGGTCAGCGATCCAAGGAGCTGTGGGTCATCTCTCACGAACAAATGAAAAATGAAAAGTCCACTTTCAGCCGCTGCTTTGGCCCCTTTTGCTAATTAGAAAAAATGCTGGTTTACAGCACTTTATTCATATTTTCACCCCAAATTCTGTTTATACATGTTTGTTTTATAACACGTCATTTAGATTTATACTTACTAAGGTGCATATTTCATGTGTGCTTGTGTTGTTTGCTGTCTGTTTCATGCAGCAGTCTCCTATGGGAGCCAGTTTTTTTGAAGCTTGAGCCATATTTCCGAATTAAAGCCGGCGTACATCGCCCTTTGAGCTTTTTTCTTTAATCGTTTTTTTTCTACTTGCTCAAATCCATGTATTAAATATAAATTCCAGCTCCACAACACAGAATGAGCCCTTTTTATTTTCATTTTAGAGCCAACAGAAACACACATACAAACAATCTTACTGCCATTTTATGGACTTTAGTGACTGTATTGCAGAGTTAGGTGTAATGGATTACCATGTAGTACTAATTTACAAATTGGGCGTGTTTGTAGCTTGAATATACTTTTATATGAGGCAGTGAGGCAGACAGAAATACACTCGGGTTTATTTATATGGGAAGTTTACAAGTTTACTTGAAAACAATCTCAGGCTGCTGTAACATCCTGTAGCTCCTCATGTTTGCACTTCTACATCCTACGTCTGTAAATGTAAATGAGTGGTAAAACTCATCACTGCCATACCCCACAACCACACACACTTCCACTTTTTAACAGGACACATATACACACAAAGTGTGAAGCTAGTTTTTCCACAGCTGCACGTGCTGATATCCAGACACCAAGTAGCATTTTGCTGATGCATTGCTTGCAAAAAAGTCTATTGCAGTGGATACCCACATTTACAAGTGAGCGCACACTGCAGGCAGTATCGCGTGCTGAACAGCTCCCCACTGCTTCCCAAAGCCAAACCCTCTCTTTCCGATCAAGCTGGTTTACACATGCAAGGCTGGTGAATGTAGGTTTTATTATTGTAAGTAGTTTTACCATGCTGTGTTGTCCCAGTAGTTATGGCCTTGTAACAGAGGTCCTGCACAGAACTGTCTCCATGTCCATGTTAAGCTGTCTGATTACCACACAGTCCTAGCTATAGACACATAAGATCTTTAGTGATGACAGCTGGGCTCAAGGTGATTTTCTTTAGTCTTCTTTGGCTGAATAAATAGGATTGTTTGTGAGTTATAGGATGCTTTCATTAAAATCTATTGGAACTTTGCTAAAAACTCTTTATTAGACATGCAAAGCTTCTCTGAGCTTCTGTGTGGTCAGAATGTGAAGCCATGTGAAGTCAAAAGCAAAGTAATTTGTCACATGCTTAAATGAATCTGGCTCCTAATAAGAAATAGTTCTGCTAACCAACCATCAGGTCAACAGTTAAAGAGTAACGTGCTTCACTCTCCTCTTCCTGATTCACCAAACTCATCCTCCCAGTTTGGTGACCTGACCGTCGGTGTTACTCAGCTCCACTACCCCAGAATCCAGCTTTAGGTCCTTTTCTAGATGCCAACGTCTGTTCTAAAATGATATTCATTCATTTTATTCATATATTTACAGAGCGATATGCAAGTACAGGCAGTACTGTTGTACCCAGTGTTTGACCTTTAATCAAAGGAAGACCTGTCAAGTACAAAAACATGAATGTCTCCATCATAAAGGTTCATCTGAAACAGAACTTGGTACAACACTGAAATCGATGCTATCCTTGAGGAAATGAGTGCGATACCATGCTGCAAGTTAGGCGTGATTCTCCAACACGTCTCTATGTGGTATCGGCTTGTTTTTCCTGTTCCAGCTGTGAGATTAGAGCTGTGGTTACTAACATATGAATCTAATCTCTGTGCACCTGCGATATATCAAAGCTGTTTGTGCTGCAGCACTTTTCTTGTCTCTCAGTCCATCTGTCATTCCACCCTTTCCCTGTTTGGCCCTCTGCTCACTTCAAGGTGAAAGTATGATGGTGTTTCAGGCTCGCGGCATTGTTGAAAGATGGATGAGAATGATGAATGTTCTAATGCAGGACCCGCTTCACTCTTTGTGTTTATGTATTGGTTTTAAGGTTAGAGTACTTGTTGTCTCCCTGGCCATCTTATTGGTACCTTAACTCTTTCTCTCTTGAATGCCTGTTAAAGTTATTGTCTAATGTGGTCTTTATTGGGAAAGAGTTAAACCAGTTGCTGAAATACTAAAACACTTCCACGTAGAAAGATTAGGAAAGACGACAGGAAGCAAACAGGATGTGTTTTTGATGAGATGGCCCTGATGTTGTCTCTGAATCAAAGCCTGTATGTCACACACCTGCCTGTGTCCACATTTATCAGCCTTATTTTACACAGCTGACTCTATTACACACTTACACAACCACAACTAATTTATCTGCATCAGTAAAGATTCACACTGGGAATCCAAAGTATGCTGATACACCAGTGCACACTTAACAGGTGGGAAGTCAGTGCTTCAATAATTCTGCATCTCTTTAATCAGCTCTTTCTGATGACACACGATTTTCAAGCTAAACTTTCAAAGCCAGTGATGATGAATCACTAAGATGGTGAGAATACAGGAACATTTGGAGCAATATATATGTCCTCTATACAATTTACATATTTAGTGAAGCAGCAGTGGAATTATTTAGAAAACTGTCATAACAAAGCCCATATTTCATTATCAGACACTGGCTCCCACCGTTTCACAGTTTCAAATATAAACTCGATCTTTATTTGACATCTGTAGACAGTTACTACATCATTGTCACATTAGCTTTGCATGTCAATGTTTTGAACAAAAATAAAATGCAGTTCACTGAAGCTGAGCTGAAGACTAAATACAGCTTTATGTAATCATGTCCTTCTGTTACTGTAATCCACAGGGGGCGCGGGGACCTCCTGGTGAACCAGGTCAACAGGTACCTCTGGTAAACTCTGAAACTAACTCGTGTCAGAACTGTTGGTGACACAAGTTGGTGACCTTAACTCATTTCTTGTGTTCTTGCATTTAGGGTGAAAAGGGGTTGCCTGGTCCACAAGGTCCCCCTGGAATAAAGGGAACACTGGTTAGTATGACATCTCTTTTCATTTGCTTCCACTTTTTAAAATGTTTCTTCAAGTATTCACAGCAAATTAGGACATTGTTAACTAATGAACATCCCTCAGGTCGCCCAATAAATCACTGAGGGATATGATTAGGGTAGCCACGTTAAATAAAAAGGTTTCAGAGACTACAGCTTTTAAAAAAAGTCCCTTGCATGCATTCTGCCTTTAAAGCTCTTCTAAGATTTCTGATTGAATACGCCAAATACACAAAAATTCCTTATAAAGGGGTAGATGTTAGCTTGAATGCTATCTTTAATATGTTCACTTGAAACCTGATGCATGTTAAGGTCAGTGATGACCCTCTCCGTATGGGCTACTGGATCAACTTTGCAACTGATCAATCAAGTTGTCTGAGTATTCTGAGTTAGCATTAGCCCAGAAGCTAGCTAATGCTATTAAAAGCTATCACTAGCAAACCAGCATGACAAATGTCACCTGCAACAGTAACTTGATTGCTTACCATTTGTTGCAGAAGTTAATTTTATATAAACACATTTTTTCCTCACGCAAAATTGCAACAACAACATGATTGGTTAGTTGCAATGTTGACCCTGGTGGTTAATAAAATGATGCAGGAACAACACCAACACAAGGATGTCAGATACACCAGCGGTCCCCAACCCCCGGGCCTCGGACCGGTACCGGTCCGTGAGTCGTTTGGTACCGGGCCGTGAGAGTTGAGGCTCAGGTGTGAAATGTATGGTTTTCAGGGTTTTTATCGGTGTTCAGCGTGATTTTGTTATCGTTTTTCTCGTTGACTCTGTTTTCCTGGGTCTTTTCACGTGTGTTATGAATAAATCTTCTTTTTTTCGGTACCGGTACTAGTTTTATTTTGTTGTATTTATCCGCGACACCTTAAAGGCCGGTCCATGAAAATATTGTCGGCCATAAACCGGTCCATGGCGCAAAAAAGGTTGGAGACCGCTGAGATACACCATATATAAAATTATTCTCCAAAGTTTTGGCAATTAGGGGATAAATGCTCTAATCATTTAAACTGACACACATCAACAGCTGTTTAGTATTCTTACAGAAAAAGACCTTATTGCTGTTCTTTTAAAAATATAGGGTTGCAAACCTCAGAGTTTAAGATATTAATACCACAGTGAACATAGTTCCTTAGGCTACTTTGTAAAAGTGCAATCACAGCAAAACATTTGTCTTAGCTTTTCTCTCGTCTATAGAGGCTCCTACTTTTACACAGCAAAATCTCCAGTGTTAAATTAACACTGGAGAGTGTCTATATGGGTCCACACCCCTAAGTGTTAAATACAACACTGTTGAGTCTTAAATTAACACTTTTGACAGTGTTATATGTTTAAAAGTAACCTAGTCAGTTTTGAAGATTAACAATGGCTAACACTGAGCAGTGCTGATTTTCTAACACTGGAATATTTCTAACATTTTGAGTTATTTTCCAGTGCTAATTTAACACTGGAGATTTTGCTGTGTAGAATCACAGTATCCAACATCATTTTTTCACCATATGTGTCTGCAAAACAAAATATTTCGGACTCAGAATGAGTCTTTGTGCAGTTTTATGTGTGCCATCTCCAGAACACGGCCGTCCCTGCGGTTAGCTCATAATGAGATCATTAATTTAGCCACGGATCCTTATGAATCCATTCACTGATTTATTTGGCAATATCATTAAAGCTGCAAGTGCCTGTTGCTGTAGACCAAAAGTCAGACCAGCATGTGCTGTGGGTTATAGCTGTACACACAGTATGGAGACCCCCCCTCTGGTAAACAAGATTACACACAGAGAAATGCAATTACAGCAGAGCCTGGAGAGCACACGCTGCTCAGTGATAATGGCTGGACACGTTGTTCACAGCTTTGTCACCCTCCTATGGCCAGAGTGGGACAGTACAGCTGGAGTGAGGGAGGGTCTCAGTGAATCGCGCTGAGACCTAAGGACACATCTACACTGCAGAAAACTGAATCAGACATGAGATTAATGGCAGATATTTTCTGCATTGGTCTGTTTTTTGCAGACTGCTCTACAATGTGAGGCTGCACAAAGGTCACCTTTCCACAACCACCAGCTTCATCTTTGAGTCTTCATCCTCCTCTTCCTATTTGTGTCAGTACAACAGAACCCAGCTATGACGTTATGCCTGCAGTGGGCCTCTGACTTATCTGACACACACAACACATATACACACAAATACACGCACACTGAGTCAAGAGGGAGGAGGAAAGTGTGTGGGCGGGATGAGCCACCCCTTGTAACTAGGCAACCACATACATTCTTGTGATTATAAAATATACAGAGATTTCAAACTTACTGTTAGCTGACCCAGTTGACACCCATTATGTTTGGCATTTCCAATGTGCCTGTTTGTGCTTTGGCTCCTTATATATCATGTACAGTCATGTGTTTCCTCCAACTTGCTGGATAAGTAAATACATTCAGGTAGCCTCTGGTTGTGACAGGTGAAGTACCTTAAGCCTGCATTCTTTCCCACTGGCCAGGTGGGGATAATATTTGAGATGTTCCAAAAGAAAAATGTCATTCCCTGACTGGTGGGCACTGGTTTTGGAGGTTGCTGGCTTGCTGGACAAAATCTTTGCACAGAAGGTGCTGCACCAAAAACCTCCTTGTTCTGGTTGCGAGCAGAGTTGCAGGGTTGACACTAGATTTTCACATTTGTCTGCAAACACACAGTAACTCTGAGCTGACAGCTGATGGCCCCCGAAGGATGCGGATTGCGACATAACTAAAATCACCCCCAATGCACCCATCATGTTTGCATTTTACAAAGTATCCCACATTTTGGGAGTTGGTTTTGTGACATCAGCATATCCACGTGCAATCACTGCTTTTTACATTCAATGGATGATCCAGAATATATGGAGAAACTTAAATAATACAAAGTAAAACATCAAATTTCTATTTGACAATAAACAGATATTTACTGGAATAGCATAACACATAACAGAGTTAGAAACAGATCAATTCCAGCTCCGTTTCTGCAGCCTGTATCTGCAGACACACGAATCAGCAGTAACAGCGATAAGTGTATTGGGTATTTTTTTGCCTTTTCCTATCTTGACTGTTAATAAAAGAGCTCTGCTGCCTGTTCCTCCCTTACAGTCTCGCATATTTCAGGACGGTAGAATTTATTTGTGTTTTTTTTTCCTGTTGTGAAGGCATGTGGGAAGATAGAGCAGCTAACACACAGCTTCAAGCTGCGCTCTTGATACAGCAGAATGCTTTGTTGAATATGCAAACTCTGTGTGTGTTTACGCACACCACTGTCCAAATGTAGATGCCCTGTGTGTGTGTGTGTGTGTTCCTGGTGTGAGTGGACCTGAGCCATCTCATTTCTCCCTCAGTGCCTCCTGACTAAGCCGTCACGCACTCTGTCACATTCAGCCCAAAGCGCTGTGTCTGTCTCTTTCATCTCATTCTCTCTCTCTCTCCTCCTCCTTCCCTTGCTCTCTCACCCCCATCCTGCTCCCCCTCCCCCTAATGTTTGTCTCCATCCAGGGAGCCCCAGGGCCCCGGGGGCCGCCTGGAGAGATTGGCCGAGATGGTCCCAAGGTCTGTGTGTTGAATGTTTTTAATTAGTTATTATGCTAATGGCCTGCTACTCCCCAGCCGCTTGGCTATTCTCAGCCCGTTCTGATGTTGCACCCTTCCTCTCCTCTTGATGTTCCCGTGGAGAAAAGCGCATTTTTCTAAGCAGGAGTCAAACTGTTTGGAATCAGTGTGTAGATGTTTCTGAATAAATGCCAAAGATGGTTCATACTTTTGACTCTTAATGTGCAGATACTCAAATTTCTTTACAGCAAAAGCATTTGTGCAGAATTAGGCTTCACACTATGAACTCATTTAGGTGCTTATACACAAATTACACAAGCCTAATTGCTATTGCACTTGTGTAAAGTTGGATTGTTCAAAATCAAAAACTGTTTTTTTTTTTAAACTTGTGTGAAAAAGCTTCAGAAATTAGATCAGTCTGAGGCTCCTCACAGAGACCAGCACAGGGGGCATGAGGACACGTTCATATTTCTCTGACCTTGAAATGCATATTTCCTTGCCCTTTGGAATTTGTATACTCAGCACAGCATGCATGGCACAAAGATGGAAGGAAAGGAGGGGTAGAAGATGATTTCATGCATATCAAGGTGAAAATGGCCTCTTTGCTGTTGTGCTGAGCAGGAAAATGCTGCTTGATAAAGTGGTCATGCCAACCTATCTGTAAGGCAACATAAATAGACATTAGTCAGTGAGATTAGACTTGTATCATTAAAGCAGTCTGTACTGAGCCCAGTATATTTGTTGTAAAGGCTTACATGCACAGTGAATGCAGGTGAAGGCCTCCTTGCCTTCGCATCACCCCATTAAATTCCTGGAAACTTCCGAGGGCCTCTTAATATACCAGGAACACGTGATGAGAAACGAGGAGCTGGGGTTGGACAGTCTGCTTAGTTTGTATTGATTCAGGGGCATCTGTTAGTAGAATTGTTTGAGATTCATAATCATGTTGTTATAGATGTAAGTATGCAGAGCATGAGCTATTTATTGAGTTCTCCTTTCACAAAGCCAGATATGTTGTGCTGCCATGTTTCTAAAGTAGTAACTGATCCTTGAGAGGAACTTTTACACGTTAACTTAAAGATTTAATTTTATTTGAAATCCCTGCCAAACAGCACAAGTCTGAGCCGTCTCTCACTCGTCACAGTGTGACCGTGTGAACGCTTAGACGACTATAACCAAATCACTGTTCTGCTTGAAACCAGTGGATGTGACCGCGAGGTCTAAGATTAAGTTTAAATTCATCAATCAAGCTAAACAGATGACTGAGTTCATTTGTTACTGTGCTGTACTCAAGCACAGTTGTGGCAGTGTTTACTATAGTAGAGGTGCAATGGGAAAGCAATATTAGTGTTAGCTAGTGTTATTGTTAGCCACTGTAGATGCCTACAGCACACACCTCTTATACATTAACATTTTCAGCACAAACATGACCAGGAAACTGTAAGATTCTGAGAAAGGTTTGAATATCACGCTTCTCTCTATTTCTTTAAATATAGGATGACAATGTGAAGTGAATGTGAAAATGTAGTCATATAAATTATGCACATTGTATCCTTAAGAAAACACAAGGCTCCTAAAAAGGAAGCAACTTTTGTAGTTTTGCTTGGTGAAGCTTCCAAACAGAAGGTGCAGCACATAAAACCTCTTTCAGCTAATTCAGTTCTGCGATTGAAGACGGCATAAAAGTAAGCGCAATCAACTCCATATCGACCAGCTGCAGCATTAAAATAGTGCTTGCAAGCAGCACAGTGTTTGTAATACTCAAATTCCCACATTGGCACTGACAGCACTGGTGCTTGGAAAAGCTCTCTGTCCTCTAAATTTAGTCAGACACTTTTGTGATGTGCTACTCTGATTAGCACAGCTGGTTAACAGGGACGAGAACAGTAATGGGACTGGCTGAGAGGATTGTGATGAATCACTGTGCTGTGTGATTTATATTCACCTTCACTCATCTCCTTTGCAGCATGTGCAGCTATATGAATGCAAATAGCAGCCATGCACTGATGTGCCCTCCATGACCCTTGTGCCTGTCTTGATCTTCAAAAACTGCATCAGAGCTGAGAATGTGGGTAACAGATGACCCTCAGCAGTACGCTCAGACGGATGTTGTGTGTGTTTCATTTAGGGGAGCTGTGGAGATCCAGGAGTGGTTGGTCCTGTTGGTCCACCAGGCCTGATGGTGAGTGGGGGGCTACCTTTGTGTTGCGCTTATGTCGACAAAAAAGCCGTTTATGTAAACAGTGAGAGCCAATGAGTGAAAACTGAAGGTATAATGAACCAGAAGGTCCAACACAGCATCTCAGTGCATCATGGCATGCCCTCCTAGGCTACGTCCACACGTACCCAGGTGTTTTTGAAAACGCAGATTTTTCTATGCGTTTGCACCTTTCGTCCACACGTAAACGGCGTCTTCGCTCACTGAAAACGGAGATTTTTAAAAACGCCTGCCAGGGTGGATATTTTTGAAAACTCTGTTTTTGCATTTACGTGTGGACGAGGAAAACGGAGAAAACGGAGAAAACGCAGCGTCAAAGGTGTGCGCTTTTTTTGACGTCACACTGTGCGCCACGTTATTGTTTCGGTGAAATGAATTTCTACAATACTGTTACTGTTACTTGTAATCTCTGCAGTGTTTAAATGCTTACATATACACACAGTTACTGTCCCTCCACACAGACGACTGGTTCTGCTTCTATGCCCCATCTTTGTTTACTATTTCCCACCGAGGCTTCTAGACTTCTGATTGGCCAACATTTCTACACGGTTAGGAATATAGCGCCACCTGCTGCTTTGGCATGTTCATAGCAGCGTTTTCCTTCATTTCTGCCTTTATGTGTGGACGGGATTATTTTTTAAAACGAAAACGGAAAATCTCCATTTTCAAAAATACCCGTGTACGTGTGGACGTAGCCCTAGTCTCAAACTGAAGGTCATGGTACATATACCAAAAAGACAATGACCTCAAGCGTACTTCAAAGCTTTCCAAAGACTATTTGACCAGTAAAAAGGAACACTGGAAATGGAAGTGTGACTTGAATCCACAGATTTGAGATGCAATGGATTCAAAGATAGCAAACAAGCCAGCGTCCAGGAACAGCCTGGAACTATTTGGACCTTAATAATAAACGATACTATCGAAAGTCCAAAAAACGCTGCCAGCAGTAATGACAGCTATTATCAAGGCCAAAGGAAGGCATGTAAAATATGAACTTTTATGGTTATTATATGAAAATAAGGACTGCTTACTGGTTTCATTTTGTTATTTGCCTAATAAATAATATCATTTTCAGTTTTAAACAATTCTTTTTTTCTTCTAATATATTTGGGGTTTCTTGAATGTTTTTATGACAGGTGGTCTAGTAACTCTGTTAAGCACTGCCATATAACGTCATTCTTAGCGTTGCTAAAAAGGCCATTTTAAGCATTTTCTATTATGTTTCTGTTTTTTTAGTCGCTGTTGGGTCTATTAACACTTTTTGTTGTTTTCTTATTTTGACATGTCCCCATGACCTGTTCTGCAGACTCCTGCTGAGATTAAATACAAAAACGTGATGATAGATGAGACGTCTGTTGATCTGCACAAGTATAAACATTAACACACTGCCTGATATTCAGGCCTCCAATGTGCTTTGGTGGGTCCTGCGGCACAAGTGGACTCAAAATTGTACAATAATGCTAAATGTATTTATTACTTCATCAGATTACGTCTCACATGTCTATGAATAGTTTATTGTTGAAATGAATTCAGTTCATTAATATATTATTAAAACAAGACATCGACTTCACCAGTTTTTTTTAACCAAGGGCTCAATCCACATGTCCATACTTTGCTTGTTGCATTGTGGACTTAACAGGCCAATCTACTCACAAGAAAATGTTTATAATATATTTGTGTTTTTGAAGCATGAAGCAAACCTGACCAAGTAGTTTTGCTTCCTAATCCTAAACCTAAGCATTCGGTGTTTGAGGTTCAAACACAATAGCAACATAAAGTGAAGTTTCATCTGTGTTTGCCTAACACAAAGATGCAGCAAACATGACGATATTTGCACAATCTCCCAGTTCCAGCAGTTCCAGCCTACATAAAGGTGACAGTCTGATAATTCAGCATGAACCCACATTCCTGCTGTCAGCTCGTACTTATTTCACCAGCCTGGATCTTCCTGCTGAGTGACAGCAGCACTTTTTATGTCGCTTGTTCGTTAAGCAACATGTTACTGAAGAATTACGCCCACAAATGTCAACCGTTTAAAAAAAGAACCCAAGTTGTCTTTGCTGCTTAATTACAGGTACCTTTGTTATTTCCAAGGTGTCATCCTTCAAAGCACAATTTGCTTCAGCATTTTAGAAATGATAATTTCACAAGCAAAGGAACACTTGAAATGTCTTCGCTCAGATATTTTTATAAGCCACGTTTACCTATGCTGATGATTATCTGGAGCCCGAGGTATTTATTGACCACGTTCCAAAGATCCTGGCTTTAATGTGTCGGCTCTGTGCTGGACACCAAACAATCACAGACCTGGTTTACATTCTCTGCATCTTTTCTTTTCTCCCACATCACTGAAATGTACACCCTCTCAGGGATCAAGTGGAGAACCAGGCGTTCCAGGGCTGCCAGGGGCCATGGGTCTGCCAGGGTTCAAAGGTCATAAGGTGAGAGTCAACTCGTGTAATTACATACAAAAAAACATGGTTTATTTGTCCATAATGAAGTCTTGAAAAGGCAGCAGAGGCAGCACTTGATGAATGATTTATGGCTCTAACTGTCAGGAGCTTACATGATTTACAAGCTGTACTGTGGAAATGTTGACAGCGTAACATAATACATGCTTGTTGATGTATTATTCATACTGTGCTTAGATGGCATGATTAATTTTAATGGTGCTGAAGGTTGTCCTTCACACTTCAAAAGCAGATGCCCAGACACATAAAGACACAATAAACAGCCCTGATCCAGAACATACGGCTGTGTTTGATGCGCAGTGTGCAATCCACAGGACATGTTGTTTCTCTCTGGTTAAGTCTTCGCGCTGTCGCCACAGTGTAACGTGGGCGTGCTCTAACACTCAGTGTTGTGTCATCAGGGGGAGAGAGGTGAACCTGGGTCCAAAGGAGCACAGGTACGGTCGGTGGCTTTTCTTCCCGACACTCATTCACAGTGTGGAATCACATCCAAACTAACCAGCTTCATGAGAACATACGATCCATCATGACTCCACAGACTCTAAGCTCCATCTCAGCACAAGTAGGTTTAGCTTAACTAAAGAACAGCATTAGTGATGCAGCGCTCCATCGATCGTGTTCTAGGGTGTGCCATGCTAATTCATGAAGCAGCGGGGTTATTAAAATATCTAGAAAAAGTGAGGTACCCTGTTAATCATTCTGTTTCATAACAACATAGTTTTTAGCAAACTTAAATACCCAGGGGCAGTATTCAAATATGTGAATGTGAAGTCAAAGTTTCAGCTAATAAATGTTAAACAACAATGACATGAATATAAAAGCAAAGAGAGCGACGCTCTGCCTTCTGCTTCTGCAGACGGGGCCAGAAACATGAAACTAGAGAAAAGCCAAAGGTTACACCGACAGCTCACTGGCTACAGCATTAGCATTATGATAAAACCAGTTTTGAAAAAAAGATTTTAGCACAATGGTTTCATGTGTTTGTTTATGGCGTGGTATATCGCCGTGAAGTGGGAACAACAAACAGTTGTGATACTGTTGTTCCTGGGAAGGGGAATGTCAGGTTTTTGGTCAGTGGTCCTGACCTCTCATTGAGTCCCGTGATTGGTTAATCGGCGGTACATCTCCAGCTTTACTTATGTGGCATCATGTCAGATGAAAACAGCTGGTGCTGCATACCAGGGTCAGGACTTTACACTGTTATGGAGAGAAACAACAGTTTACCCACTGAGCAGTAGAGGACAAGGAAATCAGAGACATCAGAGGTTTACACAGGTGGACATCAGAGGTTTACACAGGTAGACATCAGAGGTTTACACAGGTAGACATCAGAGGTTTACACAGGTAGACATCAGAGGTTTACACAGGTAGACATCAGAGGTTTACACAGGTAGACATCAGAGGTTTACACAGGTAGACATCAGAGGTTTACACAGGTAGACATCAGAGGTTTACACAGGTGGACATCAGAGGTTTACACAGGTGGACATCATCTAATTTAATTTATTTTGAACCTGCAGGACAATCAGATATAGTGTTACAGATGATCTATTTGACATTATTTTACAGCAGAGCTTTTGCTTGTTAACTAATTATCACTTTTTTAAATAGCATGAGTACTGAGTGTTCTCTGATACAGGCTTTAACTGGTAGATTTTCCTCAGTTCTTCTAATTTTAATAAGAACATTTTGAACACCCTGTTCTGACAGGATGACACAGCGGACAAAGATGTTTGCAGCAACTATTCAAGCGATTACTTCACTAATATGACTGCATTGGACTGCAGTGAGTATGTAGTATATTTAAGTAGCTCCAGTTTCTTAGAGCAAGTGTAAGAGGCCAAAGATGTCTAATGTAAGCTGATCTTTAATATAAAACCTCAGCTTTGCTGCAGCCACTGTTGTCTGCACTGGTTGCTTTTACATGCACTAATGGCAGACAGAGTGATGGCCCAGAGGAACAGAGAAAGCTCCTCTGGGTGCTTCCTCTGCTGCAGGATGTGGTTGGAAAACCACACAAATGAGATAAAAAAGTCAGGTTTGTTAAAGGTCACCAGCAGCCAATTCTTATCCCTTCTCACTCTGGCTTTCCCTTATTGGCTGCTAGTGGTAATCATGACCTTTTCTCCACTCCCCCTGTCCCTCTCTCACACACACACATATAAAATGAAGACATTGACAGGCACACACCAGTGCATACACACATTCAGCCCCACACACATGCAAACAAATTCACACAATCCTCCAGTCAATGATGAGGTATCTCTTTTGCAGGGGGAGCGAGGCAGAGACGGAGATCTCGGGAGTCCCGGCGTGTCGGTGAGTGTAGAATCCTTCTGCTTCCACTGGGTGGCAGCGGAGCTTATGTTTTCAAACACTGTGTTCAAAATGTGTGTTTCTTGTGTGTGTGCACAGTTACTTGAACCAAATGTCCCCACAAGGACACAGGGATGGGACTTACACGGAGCTAATTTAGGCTTACATCATGAGGTTACTTTAAACTAGTTTAGGTTGGGGAAAAATAGAGAATTGATGAAATTTGACCAAACCAGTATCTTGTTAGAATTTCTTTTCTTTAGCTATCTGTAGCTAATAAACTGGAGCCCTCAGAGAAATTCTCCCAAAGTCATTACAGTCCTTACAGATCAGGTCAAACGTTTGCACACATCCATCATGAATGTGACTGTAACTGTAGGCTTTCTTTGTACTGTTCAAACGGTGGAATGATTGCACAGCATACATGCTTAGTGGCTGCTGAAAACAACAATTGGGTGCAAAGGTTTGAAATTGTTTTTGGATTTTTGAATTGTTTGATTTGGCCACCAACAAGCCACCAAACTCTAAATACCTTTTTAAGAGACCACGACAGTGGGTGAGAATGAGAATTATCACAACATTCATGCTCATCATGAGTTACTTACTGCCTGATTGTGATCTTATAAAGCACCTTAAAAAGCCTCTGTAAGAGCAGTGTTATATGGATTTCTGCTAAAAGAAAACAGTACATTAAAAACACAGTAACACCGAAAAGAAAAAGAGGGAAGTAAAACAGCAACAGTGCTTTACACAAAGAATCATAAAATCTAGTCTGGAAGCACATATTCAACAGCCACTCAGAGAGAGGTGACTAAGCTGAGTTAATATGCCTTGATAAGTGACCCTGGAGACAAACTCCAGGGGCCCTCGTGGCAAAGCCCCAGCCAGCTTCGTTGTTCAGGCTCAAGCTAAGATCCACATTATTGAGGATCACAGTGCCACAGTTCAGATTCTTGGCAACAGCGAGGAGGGCCCAGAGGAGACACCGTGTCAGAATAGGCTGAAATACAGACGTTTAACTGAAAATCAATGGTCAGTTTACAGGTTTCGATGGCGTGAACTGGCGAACAAATCTGAAGGTGATGATTAGAGAGACAGACAGCAGCTCTAGGACTGCTGGAAGTGCAATAAAAAGACACATTTTACAGCTCAGTCTAATAACTTTAGCTCACACAACACCATGATTGATTTGCTCAGGGAGGTAAAATTAATGATATTTTATCTATGTCTAATAACATCAGTCATACATGGAGAAACCTCTCGTTGCTCCGTTAGCAGCTATTTTCTCTCAGGTTCATTTGTTTCTGTGTAAAATGCTCCGCAGATGTAGAACGACATGTACAAATATATCTTTAAAAAACACACAAGCAAAAATAACGTGTGAATTTATATTGACGTATATGTAAACAAGTCACTAATTACCAAGATAGCTTGTTCACATACTTGCTTTGGCAGCTGTGACTTGTCAAAGAAGAAAAAGCAGAAGTATTACTAATAACATGAGTAATATCAGCATGTGGAACCTGAAGCAGATAAATATAATTTAGCTACTTTGTTGTTCTTATCGTGACATGGAGGAAGGCCTGCTAGTGATAAGCTCGCTAGATACAGGAGCTGAAGAACCACTCCTGGGTGGAACGCAGAACTGACTGTGAGCCATGTAAAGTATTGTTTGTAATAAACAAACAATAGGAGCTCTACATGATATTTACTATAAGAAGAAATCTATTAGATGTAATTGTGAAACACTCCGTTATCCATCAGAGAGAGGCAAGAAACAGCTGCAGAGACAGAACAACTGCTAATGCTGAATAGATGGAATTGTTGTAGTTGGGGAGTATTTTCAAGCTGTTGGCAGATGATTGTTCCTGGCAACAAGGTGAAATGAGATTAGAGAAGCAGGGCAGTATAATAGAACTAGCATGTTTTCCACATTGCAATTATCATCTTTAATGAATGTCAATAAACGCAATAAGAAAACATAAAAATCAGAATGTTTCCACCTAATCTATGTAATTGAAGTGTTTATCAGTAGGTATTGATCCCTGAGGCATTGCCCCTCACGTTCCAAGACAAGGATTTGACAGTAAACTTGGAGGTGTGTGCACTGCAGCAGCCATGTTGCATCACACTGAGCCACGGCTGTGTGGTTATGCGTGCGACACTGGAGACACATGAATGTCTCAGCATGCAGCTTAATGTTCACACTCTGTAATTCCTTAGTGTCGAGAATAGCCCAGCCTCCATGTGATGTGCACTCTAGGCTAAATGCATCAGCGGTGAATCACAAGCGTGTCACCTCTGAAATGAATTTGATATTTTTGTCTTCAGACACACTTCCTAATTCCTGCTGGCTAAAATGAATATGATTGTAGTTCGAGGGAACAAGGGCGGGTGTGCCCCTGTTTCCCAAGAGGAAGTGATGAAGCTGTCACTTTGGTACCTAAGGGATGTTTCTTGTGCAACATACTATGTCATTGATTAGTCTGTTACTGACCCTTATTATGTCTGTATTGCACCCATGCACTTTATGGCTACAGCTTGCTAAATTAGCTTGCTAGTGTTAGCTGGTGACGTCCAAAAATCCATCACTGATGCTCCAACAGGTGGCATCATGGTGGCTACAATACCTTTCACACACAGTCTGTGGAGTTTACTGCGTACATTCAGTGCTAGCATTTATGAGGAAGCTTTTAGAGACCAATGAGGTAAAGTAACAAAGCAGCAAACTTAAAAACCTTTATCCCTCTTGTCAGCACTGGCTCTTTACTTGGAATGACTCTAAATCCATAATTATAATTCTTTAGTAAGACCCTACACACACACACACACACACACACACACACACACACACACACACACACACACACACACACACACACACGATGTTACTGCAACAGAAAATAAACAATAGTAATAATGCTATCTGTCAGATTTCTCAATAGCTTTGTTTGGAGCATTGATTCAAGTCAAAATACAAATGCACAGAGGTGGTTTTTGCAACCATAATTACACAGAATTACACAATATTTATGTGTGTACATTTGTATGTGGTTTTTGTGATAGCCACGGTGTTAATTCTGCTGAGAATTTCTGGAACCTGAACCCATTAACCTTAGTTTGCTGAGTTGAGTAACTGCTGTAGTGGACGTTGAGTCTCCCGAGCTGAACATTTTACATTGCTCAACATGTAGGGTAATTAAAGATGTTGGGTTAGGGGTTATTTTTTTGCAGTTTTCAATCCTGTCTTTCTAAACTTCTATTCCATGCTACAATAAACATTCCCTACGTAAAACAAGACCTTCCGTCTAGACTAAATTTTAACAACACAAGACATGGGCTGTTTTGTTCATTAATTCATTGAATAATTCAATTGAAGGCTCTTTAATTATTCTACGAAGTGTAAGCTGCAAGGTCTTGCAAGGCTGTTCATATTAGCTTTATGGATTTGTGTGTTTGGTCTATATTATTAACCTAAAAAATGATGAAACACTTGTGGACACTAATTGATGACCAATGACAAAGAAGGGTAACTGAAACTCTTGAATTCTATAAACTGAAACCACAAAATCTGTGAGTCCTTTGACTGGAAAGCTCAGTTTTTGTGTGAAGTGCATCCACACAGTGACTTGAATAGAAAGCAACAAAGAGCTGCAGTTTGAGCAGAAACAGAAACGGCTACTGAACATGCATGAACATTTCCCAACACCAACAGTGTCGCACTGCTGGATGCATTCTCGAGTCTTTGAGTGGATGTCTGTAGGGTTTTTGACCTTAATTTCACATTGATTTTCTTCCTGTTACATCAGCAGTGCGGGTGATTGAGAAAGTTCCTTTGGCAGATTGTGCTGTAAGCCCCTGGCATTATGGCTTTAGTAAGGTTTCTTAGAGTTTCTTTCCTAAAATGATTGAAATCAATTACCTGGTCATGAAAGAAAGAGGAAGTCTGGAGCAAAAAGGGAAGCATTTCATGGAAAATGGAACATACCAACCTATCTGTAATTCAGCAGTGTAGAAGCTTTATAGAACTGTGGTTACCACTGGATCGTGTTTTTAGGGGCTAAGAAATCCACATTTTCATCACATTACAACAAAGAGAAAGAGGTGGGGAAAAATCTTTATAAAATGCATTACAATAACCAATCTAAGTCATCGGTTTGACAGAAAAGAGCAGTTCTGCATCAGCAATGCAGAGCAGCTCATGTAGTTTCTCTGACATACTGTCTTTGATGTAAGCAGAAGTTTCTAACTGTCTTTCTCTATTTTCCCCTCCTCTCGTCCTCCCCTCCCTCCCCACTCTCTTTTCTTCTTCCGTCAGGGCGAAGTGGGACCCAGGGGATGGAAAGGAGAGGTTTGTCGAATTAGACTTTGCGGTATTAGATATAATCCATTCTGTCTTATTCTGCACCACAGTGAGAAGGCCTGTCAAGCCTGCATGGCTGCTATAAAAGACTTACAGAGCCAGTACCTTCAGGCCTGTGGAAATCTGGGCCCCCGGGCAGAAATATACATCACAAAAGCACTCTTTCCCTAAGATGCACACATCTGCAAATCAAACACTTACTCTACTGTCTGCAGAATCACAATTTAAGGAGATACAACTTCCCTCAGTCGCTGCCATTTGTAGGACATCAAAACATATCTGCTTTTTGATCATTAGAAAAGCAGATATGCAAAGCTTCACTGTTATTCACTGTTTACTAAAGCTCCTTTAAGACTGTCATTGCCCTACACCTATATCTGCCAAACCTTTCGCCCGTGCGTGGCACACCTGCAGGTTGACAACAACAGCAGCCTATAAAGTCATTGTACTTGTTCTTAGGTAGGTTTACAGAAACTAGTTTCTCTTGACTGACAAAGCATTTGTATTTGTCACAAATTCTGTCAGTTGAAATACCAGATTCGATCAGTTTCAGCTAGCTAGCGTTGGAAACTTTTATTGTTTCCAACTGACTTGATCTAAACTAAGAAAGCTGTAAAGGTTTTATTACACCCTGGTATAGCAGATGTCAGAAGACTGAGGTAAAAGCTGTATGTCCGAGCCATGTGGATGAAAGTTGCTGTATTAACATGTTTTCACACCCAAGGTGTAAAATGCTGCTGTTTTTGTCAGAGCCACTGGTGTATCAAAGATTTCGTAGACCGGCTGCTGCAATATTGGACTGAATGGAGCAAGGCAGAGAGGAATGAAGGATGACAGAGCACCAGTGCTATTGAACTATTGTGGTTTTGGTTCAAATGTCTTCTCACAGCACCGTGAATGTTAAAAAATCAAAAAATCTCATTCTATGTGTACATGTGGCAAGTTGGGATACCCACCTCACTATTACTGGAACAGCTCAAAAGAGACCTTGCGTGTCACTCATGGACGCCCCAAAAATGATTTGAGATTGAGGATGAGTTTGCAGTGTCTGACTGCCGAGCTAACACCAATGTTGATATGCTACGATGTTTTAAATTCTTACATTACAAGAGAAAGGCTTTTGAATGAGGACAAACCTGTGTTTGACACAGGTAACAGTATCCCAGGTAGTTCACTGTTATTACCTATTACACAACCTTCCAACAAGCCTTCGTATTATTTATCTGCTTATGCAGTTGTTAGGAGTGTTAAGAAAAAGTGTTTAGCAGTCAGTAATTGCAGATCAGTTTTACTGTTTCTCTCTTTAGAGTGTGACTTTTTTGTGCTCTTTTGTTGCTGCTTCAGAAAGGAGTGACAGGTGATACGGGCCCCAGAGGACCCGATGGAAAGAAGGGTGACATGGGCCACATGGGTGTCATTGGTCCCAGGGGATTTCCCGGACAGGATGGGTCGCCAGGCCAACCGGGCCAACCAGGCCAACCGGGATATCCTGGCAAACCTGTAAGTGTGCCTCCTTTCTTATCTGATGTTAACAACCATAGCAGTGAGAATAAAAAAGGACTGAAAAATGTTGGAGAAAGGACACTTTCCTGCCACACCTGGAGAGGTCAGGGTTGGGAGTTACTGTGACACTGCTGTCAGTGTGTGTGAGCTACATGAAGATGGAGAACTGAGCATTGAGAAGATCCTCTAAATCTGCAGGCACGAGCCAGAGCATGTTTTCCAAGTCCCAGAGTGGCTTCAGCTGAATCAAAGTGTAATTGTGTGTTCCAGGGTAAGCCTCCCTCAGACGAACATCTCGTAAAGCTCTGCACTGATGTTCTGCGTAGTAAGTATTTGTTTGTGTTCACATCACTCTGCGGTGCAAAAACCAAAGCCGCAGTTGTCTCAAACATGCATTTCACACAATAGCTTTTCATCCATATCCACTTGTTGCAGTAAATTGGCGAATGGGCTTAGTCTAGTTTAAGTGCAGTTGTTTTGTAAAAGACAGTCTTAAACTCAGAATGAACGTGTTAGTCGTGATAAATCACCTCCTTCCTGTTTTTAGCCTTTGACGTAAAGAAGAATCCAGTGAATGTTTTTTTCTCACAGCTCCTTTTTTCCCACCCATAGATAAAATAAAAGATGGATACTGTACTGTCACCTGCTGGTTTGTAAAGTCCTGTTCTGAAGCCTTGAGATGACATTTCCAATGTTGCCATCTCAGTGTTTTGAAACTGGATGTGACAAATGAGGCGTGGATGTGGCTGTGAAAGCATACACTCATGGACACGAGCTGAATAATGTTCTTTTCTGCCTCTTACAACGACCAAAGGTTTCAGAACTGGTTTAATGTTGGATTCAGTGTAACGAAATGAGTATTTCAGTATTTTGCTGACTTCTGTAGGGTCAAAAGGCTTTTTGTCTTTTAGTGGCCATTTCAAAAATGCAAAATTAAGACAATTCAGCATGTTGTCTGAATAAAGTCTTATGTTGTCTGTACTATCAGGCTTTTTAACTGCTGCTCACAGTCCTGTCTGTCTGCTGTTTTGGGCTAAGCTTTTAGTACAAACCTAAAAAATACAGAGACTGCCTATAGATTCATATTATAAGACTGAATAACTGCAACTACGAGTCTAAAGCTGGCAATTACATGCTGTAGATTATAAGACGCATTAAGCAAAACAAAACAGTCAGATAAGTCAAACTTGACTCAGCTCATTCTTCGTGCTTGCTCCACTTCTGTACCATAGATTCATTAATGTTGAATTCTCTGCAGCTGCTCTATTCCCGTGTTCTACTGCGCGACTGACAGCCTTGAGTTTGAAATCCGCTTCGTAAGCATGTCTCTTAACAGGTGCCATTTTACAGCATGGCACAACCAGAATTCATACATAAGGCGGACGGTCAATTTTTGAGAAAATTAAAGGATTTTAAGTGCGCCTTATAGTGCGCAAAATACAGTGTATTGTTAAAGTGTGTAACAAAAGCAGATTCTTCTCATGTTGTGGCTGTGCCCTACAGACCAGCTGCCAGCATTGCTACAGAGCCTGACTCCTCACTCTAGGTGTGAACCCTGCCAGGGTGTGAAGGGTCCTCCAGGTGAGCCAGGAGCACCGGGACCCAAAGGCTCCATGGGAACTCCAGGCTACCCTGGCAGAAATGGCGCTCCTGGTTACCCAGGACCTCCTGGAATACAGGGCCCCGCAGGCCTCAAAGGTTTGATATGACACAGTTTCTTAAAGTTATGAACCAGTACCTTCAGACAGGTTTATGTTGTCTATACACAAAGCTTCCTCTCACCAGTGTTATATCTGCTCCACTGTGACAAAAAGCTCCATTCTGGCTCCTCACTCTGATGAAAACAAGGCAATAAGTAACAACACAGCATCACAAAGAAGCGATGGGACAAAATTTACGACCGCTTTCATCAACAGTTAAAATCAAAACAGTGTCAATAATGAACAAATTGGATGTGTTGATGTTCACTGTACCCCATAAAACAAGATCATTAAACAAGCGAACATCAGTGAAAGTCAGCAGAGCAAAAGACAACAAATGCCCCACACCCATCTCAGCGAGCTGTCTGTGATTTATCACCACTTCAACACAGAGAGTGGCTAATCAGCTGTGGAAGATACCACTCCACTGCTGTGTAGCATTTTAACTTGTTAGGCCAGCCATGCAGCGACTTTGGAGGAGCTGGTTGAGAACATTAAGGGAAGACACTGAATAATTCTGTGCCCTGGATGTGCACATATCCAGTGTACAGGTAATTGTACAACTGTCAGTAATAGTTTAATTCATTTTAAGTTTATTTATGTATCACAAACCATACTGAGTGGAGAAGGCATTTTTCGTCTGAACTCTGCACACATCTGAATCTGCCAGTAGCCCTTTGTTAAATGCAGTGTGATTAAAAAAGCGAGCTATGCCTAACCAATCCAGGAACTCCTTGACCCGGGATATGGGATAACAAAACGTTCTCACTCCCAAAGCGTCGGAAGGTTGGTGGTTCAATCCCTGGCTCCTCCAATCTGCATGTCAAGTATCCTTGTGCAAGATACTAAGCCCCAGTTCTCCGATGCATCCATTGGAGTGTGAGTGCAGTTAGAAAAAGCAGTAAGTTCAGAGAAAGTGTGATTGGGTGATCATGGCTTTTTTATAGAGCACTTTGACGACTCCGGGAGAGTAGAAAAGAATAAGAATCAGTCCATTTCCTATATTACGAGTTTGGAAAAACGAGGAAACATGAGAACTGTTTGGAATGAATCTACACATGTAGGTTTATTTTACTTAAATCGCTTTGGAAAACACCATCTAACACGATTAAGGTGGTGGTTAAGATTAGGGATAAGGTTAGGGTTAGGGCTGGAATACATGGCTGGAGCGTGTATTACTGCGGGAGTGTCATTGTATTCGATGTCATTCACAATCCGCCGTGTATCATGGGAACGGCCACCTTTCGCGTTCCCATGGGACGCCTCGGGATGTGACAAGTTGTCGGTATGTTACACGTCGGGAGTGAGAACCACCTCGGGATAAAGATCAAACTGTGACACCTCGTTCACCTTGCGATAGTCAATACAGAATCCTATAGACTCTTTTTTTTCTACCACAGGAACTATGGACCGTGCACTGTGTGACTCTTTCAGCCCTATGAGTAATTTGTCTTTTGTGCTCAGGTAACCAATAGGGCCTTAAACATACTGTCACGCCAAGGCTCTCTGGGCCTGTGTGAGATGGCAGGCAGCCCACCGCCATAGCCTGAAACACCTCCAGGAAGGACTGGGGGTCATCTGCCTTCCTGTTTGGTGTAGCACCACCACCAGAGCAGGAGGCGATGAAGTAGCCCCAGACTGAGCAACCAGGTTCTCCAGCACCCATGTCTGTCACTTAGCCTGGGTGTCCAGCTGCCGCTCATTTGCGACCATCACCACCATCTGAGCCAGTGCCTTAACTGGCTGCAGTACCTGTGGGTTCAACATGTCACAGTCATTCAGCCGACCTGACCATTAAACTCCTGCCACCATATTGGACTCGACTCATATGCTGTTTTTCTGATATGTTGTGTTAGTTTTATGTCAGACAAAACATGATGGAAAGATTTCAGAAAGTTTAGCTTTTTAAAACTGGGAAGGGCGCAAATCGTTTTTCACAGTACGGTATACGAATATCTCCCACTGCGACCTCACTTTTGGAGTCAGCCTCTAGTTGCAAGGAGAGCCACTGAACCTTTTGGTATCGTTTCCTTTTTCAGCATGGGAAGTTATTGTTTGCATGGAAAACAGACGTAAAATGTCCCCAAAACTCAAATTTACAGAAAACATGGCATTTTTGTTCCCGAAGCTCTCAGTCTGAATCTAATGTTAGTTTTTAAACACAGACCTATCATATCCCCAGGTGACATGGGACCCAGAGGGTTGAAAGGCAGAAAAGGAGATGGAGACCAGGGACCACCAGGACCACCTGGACACCAAGGTATGTTTCATTGTGCACATATTAACCTATTAACTGCTTTTACAATCCCATAACCTCCACACTGGTACTACCCTCTATTATTCACCTATGCCAGGAACTTTACCTGAGAGTTCTGGAAAATGTGTGAAAGCTCTTAGTAGTGTGGATGTTTAATAAATGCCACAAATATACCACGAAAATGAACTTGAATGATATCCCATTCTTAATTTTAATATAGTGCACATTTATGTACACTTATAAATGTACATTTAAGTACGTTTATAAGGCTCTTCTATCTGCTGACCCCACTCTGTCATTTTATGTGGTTGACCACTTTGTGGCTGAGTTTTTGTTGTTCCCACCCACTGTGTCATAATACCACTGTGGAGTTGTTGCATTATTTTGTAAACCTATGATCTAACTGACTTGAACTTCCTAATTCAATTATCACTGACCTAAATTAGGCTAAGTACAGAGGTGGTTCTTATTTCAATCTTTTCTTTTCCCTCCAGGGATTCAGGGTCCCCGTGGCTTTGATGGGATTGGCCAGCCGGGCAACCAGGGAATCCCAGGCAAACCGGGCCCCCCGGGAGATCCTGGCAAAAGGGGTAGCCCAGGACTTCCAGGGGTTTGTGACATCTCTATGTGCTATCAGACCTACAGTCTCAGGGAACACTACAGCAAAGGACCACACATCTGATGACATGGGAGTGAGAGAGGTTGCGTTTGACTTGGCCCACACTGCTGACACCTTTAAGACAGAGGCAGTTGTAACCTCATGAGCTGGTATGAACAGAAATAGGGAGGGCATTGATTCATGATCACTGAATTCATGATCAAAGAGGGTCAAGCTGGCTAGCGTCCTAGATATTTTAAACTTCTAAAGTTTAAATAGTGAATTCTAAATCCTGATTGAGTCAGACGAACACCAAGAGCTGTAACTGAGTCGCATTGTTTTTGTCAGTGTAAGAGGCAAGAAGGCCAGGAATCTGAATAATAATAAATATGTCTACCTCCTTGTTTACCTGAATTACTGTTTAAGTTAATGATACAGAAGGCAAATATGATTAATACCCTCAATAAATATGTATAACCTCTATTAATTAAATCGTGGGCTAATGTGAGAAAAGCACAATTACTATAAACTGCATATTAAAATATTAAAGAAATAGAAAAGGATCAGTTCTTATGCTGTGCTTGGAACCTCTGCTTTTCTACTGAGGATCAGCCAGTGAGGTTATTTCTGTCGTCTGTGCAGCTCTGCCTCTGAGAAATGATGCCATCTGCAAATGGTAAAAAGTGCAGCACCTGTCGCGATGATGAATCAGGATCTGTTGTATGGAACACATTTTCACATGATTATGTTGTGGTTCGCTAAACGCTTTGGTCAAACATATGAATTTAAACAAAGTTCAAAGGTTCATAACTGACAAAGATCTTGACCTCCTTCAGGTGCACAGTACATGTAATCACTAAAGGTGGAAAAACATATTTATGTCATGTTTTGTGCACAGAGCATCACAATTTGTTCAAATCCAAAGCTGTGACAGATGGGTTGTTTTTGTTTTCATGAAACCTGTTACTGCTTTTAATCTGTCATATTTGTTTTCTTGTTTGCCAGTATTATGTATTCACTTTGCATTCCTTTTGTGTTCATGTGGATTACTGTAAAACCTCTGTCAGTGGCCTTAATTCACCTCATCTGCAGAATGAACAAGTCCTTTATATTTGAAGCTTAGATTAAGTTCTTTCTTCTTCTTTCAGGTGTGTATTTTATTTTAAAAACAAACTCTAATTGTAATATTGCTGCTTAAGCCACTTGCAAGTGAAAAGGTCATCCATGTCTTCAACATTATCCATCGTGTTTCTGCTTTGGATTTCTTTTCTCTATTTTTAATACCGTTAAAATCATGAATTATTTCTAGTCACTTTCCTTTTTCAATCATTTATTCTGCCTTATAAATTATACAGCTTTTTTTTTTTTATCTTAACAGTCTCCAAACACCTCACAGGGTACAATCCATCACATCCTAGACCCCCTTTTAATTTGAAATTACTGGAGGAAGTGTGGAGTTTTATTAATTTCAACCTGAAAAAACAAAAACTAAAAAAAGATATATGATTCAGACTCACGGGAGTCTGACTAGTGAGTACTGTAGTAATATTATTATTCAAACACACCCTTATAGTTGAGAATTAAAAACAAACTATTCCTAATGATAAAGCTAAGAATAAGAAAATTTAGCACAGGTCAATGTACTGATAAAAACAGGGTACTATCTATATCGTGGTTTTCAAAGATATATTATTGCAGCAGTGAATATATTTGGCAACATGTTGCTATTTAGAATTTTTTTTACAAAAATGAAACGCCTATAACAGCATTGGAACAGAAAGTTATGATACGGACGCAATTTACAAACATCAAAACAGTATAAATGTTATTTTTAAATAGGTTTTACTTTGTCAATGCATACAATGTCCTTTTTTTAATTTCTTCATATTTGGAGAAAACGCTCACATTTACTGTAGACAATCAGAATACTGCATTAAGAGGAAATGTCTCTGTGACCTCATGAAGCAAAACTTCTTACCCTCATTATGCAGACTATCTATAAATATGTGAACTGACCAACCTTTGGTCCCAGGCTCAGCTGGAGCAGCAGCAGTTGTTTGGACTTCAAGTTTGGGTTCATAGGCTGCCGCTTGGTTAATTGTTACCACAAAGGCCCCAGTGCTCCATAGAATACTTTCTTGGTCTTACACAGCGTCACAGTCACAGAACAATGAACTGAATTAGGCATCCTTCTTAAATGTAAGTATGTTTAGTCGTCCTACAGCAGGATCACAATGTGAACAAATTCATTTTACAATTATATGTTAATAATTTTGCGATACAGTACAAAACATAGCATTTTAATGCTAACAGGCTAACATTTAAATATTCCTTTTATTGTGTTTTTTAATTAACAAATTCTCTCCATTCTTTACCCAACTGATAGCTAACAGTTAACAAAATCAACTCTGCTTAGCTGTGTACAGAAATGAGTGGAAAGATGGAGCCTAATAGGGCAGTTTTATCAGATCCAGGTAGACGGACTTAGCATGATGCAGCTTATCCTTGCTAACTGTTCTAGACAAAATTCAGTGAGCATTTTCATACAGGAATAATCAGTGAAACAATGAATGCAAGTACTGGGACACAATATGGTAATTATTTTTTCACACAACATCTCCGTCAGCATTTGTACAAGGTGTTTGTTTTCATAGGGAACGGCTCCCAGAGATCCCCAATTCCACGTATGGTTAGGATTGATAAGGCATGTTATCACTTGTAGACTGGAAGGCTTTACAATTTAGGAAGCCAATTTCCCAACAAGTCTGGTGTTTAAGATTTTTAATTTTTCACTTGTCAGAATAAACTTGGCAAGATTCATATGACTGCTGCGAGTGGGGATAGAGTACAGTTAAACTGAGTTTTTAAAACCCCAGCAATAAAATTCTGACCAGTGCCTTCACCATGATGAACGGCTTTTAAAACATCCAAATTCATTTTTGCAGAAAAATTAGTGTCTACAACAAGTGAGTCCAATATCCATTAATATGTGTATAGGCTATAAATAGATATGAAAGTGGTTTATCCTCATTTGTCTGAAAATGAAAAACATTTACCCATTTGTAGAAATAATGGGATTTTCATCAGGAAACTCTTTCAGATTAGAACATTTAAATGCAGCCATTTTGCATTCATTGGTTTCCACTGAGTAATATGACATAAACATTAACATAATGTTAATAAGTTTATATTGCGCATAGTTATTAACTGATCACTCATCTGAATTTGTTTCTTTGTTTGGTTCCTGTTCAAAGTGTAATTATTGTTGAATACGTATAATCAGAAATGTCAGTTTGGGAGTTATTTCCTGTTTTCACCGTCCTATTTATGCGAATGCACAAATGTGTGTTAACAAGCGTGTGTTTCTCTTCAGCAGTCAATGCTGTCAAAAAGATGTTAAAACTTTCCTGTCATTGTGTTGCTATACACAATGTGCTTTGAGGTAGCAGCCAAGAAGGGTGTAGTTTGTGTCTGTGAACACCCGTGTGTACACCTGTGTGGATGAGAGCACTTGTATTCAAAAGGTTTCTCCATGTAACGATATGCTAGGGAGTGTGGGGAGCTATAGCCCCGTCCCCCAGGGCATGAAGCAGGTATGAAAGAGATCCAGGCCCCAGACATCCAGAGGCCCCAGAGTATGACAACCCAAGGAGGACCACCAGGGGGGCAACCGTGCCATCCTCCTGGGAAGAGCTGAGGAGAGCCCCAGATGAGGGGTCACCCAGCAGCCACGGAGCAGAGGCCACAGGGGGTTGCAGTGACGTGCCTGTGGGCTCTGCCAGCAGCCAGCTGTGCCAGAGAGGACCGAGCCCTAGGCCCAGAGACCAGAGGGCCCCCCACCCCCCAGGGCCCAGTTGAATCACAGGCGCCAGGTGCTGCCAAGCAGCCACCTGGAGTGAGCTTGTACATACATGACCACCCAGCCCCAGACACCAAGAACCACCAACGCACTGACGTCTGAGGGCATCCGCCACCGGCAGGGAGTGTGGTGGGGAGATAAGCCCTCATACCTCGGAGGGCCTGAGATGTTCCCAGAGAGGTGGAGTCTAAGACCCGACCTGACACATAGACACAGACGAACAGGCGCACACAGACAAACGTGCATTCCAACCCTCATGCACACATATACAAATACTCGACAATCACCCGATGTGGAGAAAGACACAAATAGACACTGTACACACAATCACACTCCCCAAACATACTTTATACCCCAGGTCCAGGTACCCTAGCCCCCAGAGGGGGAAACCACACCTAGACCCAGGAGATGTAACCCTTTTCCCTGGGTGGAGGCAAGCAGACCGCCGCCGTATCTGCAGTAGCAGGGAGGCCCCACATCCCAGAACCCAATCGGACGGCCAACACCTCCCGACGGTTAACAGAGAACGGGGGTGAGTGAGGAACCCCAACCCCCCTCCACCCGCTCATATGTAGTGTTGCTGCGTGCTGTTCTAAAGTGCATTTAAAACACAGGAGGGCATGGTGCTTCCTGCCAGAGAGCAGCACGGCCCCTCCCGAAAACCCTCAGCATTTAAAATTGAGGGTAGGGCACCAGCGCCAGAGATGGGTTTGAATACACAGACCATCCTCTGGACGCTGTATAACGTGCACCCCCCCCCCATGTGGATGTCTAGGTTTCGGAATAAAATTGAGGCACAGGCGGCCAGAAGGGGACAGAGGGGGAGTGCCTCTCCTGCACCCTGGTGAAACACCTGCACCCCTAGCCTTGCATGTGTGGTTGATTGTGGTGGAGCGGGAAGACGGAGGCAGTAAATATTTCTTTCAAAATAAGACACACAACTACAACACGGGAAAAGACCCAGGGAAACCGAGTTAACGATAAAAACCCTGAAAACCATAAATTTCACACCCAAGCCTGAACTCTCACGGCCTGGCACCAAAGAACTCACGGACCGATACCGGTCTGTGGCCCGGGGGTTGGGGACCGCTGTTCTAGATGAGCTGAAGGCCTTTCAGGGAGCTTTTAGTAATAGTCCTGTCTATAATTAATAAATGCATGAACTACCTTTTCCACTCCAAGACAGAATGTTTCCAGTTTTTATGGATACTGTGCAAATGCAAATAACAAATCATGAAGGGCTCAAACGCTTTTT